AAATGCTTGATAATTATGTCACAAAAAACAGCAACAAAAAGCTAATGTTTCTGATAATGGGACTTCCCCCCAATCTCCCCCCCCCACTTTCCTTAAATATATCTTTCTTTCTCTCTCTCTCTCTCTCTTTATTATAAACATAGCAAACTAAAATTTTTCTTCTTCCAACAGCAAAATATATTTGCACTCTTGATTTTTTTTTTCCTGCATGGCAAAGTTTGCACAGTAAGATGGGCTGATGTCTGACAGGATGTCTATAGACATTGAAAGATGAGCCACGGAAGAGATGAAACGTACTTAGATAAGTTGACTAGCCCTCCCCCCTCTTGGGAGGTTAGATTCCCACCCGCCCCAGGTGTGGCCAAAGCATCTCTTTTGGGGATCCTTCTACACGGCATAGAACAGGCAGGCTCTCCCTCTAGCTGTGCGCCGGAGGGTGAGAACCGCCTGCAGCTGAGGGTCTGTTTGCAGGGGGTCCAAACCATCAGGCCAGTGGAACTGGGTCACACTGGTATGTCCAGGAGAACCTCCTCCAGGCTGTGAAGCAACGGCCTCGCTCCCCGGTGTGAATCTCGAGCTGCTGCCCAAGGCGGCACTTGGATGCCAAGCTGCTGCTGCGGCTGCTGCGGCTGCTGCTCCGCTGGCACGGTTCACTGGATCTGAATGGCTCCATGGTCTATTTGCATTTCTGGCTGGATGGCCGTCTGCAGTGAGTCTGCGTTCTGCAGGAGAGGGAGGGAAGCAGGCACACCAGAGTTTAACTTCAGCAGGGCTCAGCCTGGGGGCCACCATCCCCCAAGTGGCACAAGCAGGGAATTCTAGAACCCCTGCCAGCCGGAGAGCAGGAACGCCCAGCCGGCGTGAGCGTCAAGGCCCACCTGCACACACACATACCCCTGCCGTGTCCAAGGCATCGGCCTCAGGGGATGAGCACCCAGAGGCCCCAGCCTGCACGGCAGGGCCCGAGAGCCACAGAACCCAAACCCCTGTGCCCAGAAGCCCCGGGGGTGTGTGTGGGAGGGTGGGCAGGTTTCAGCCTCTCTTTCTCCAAGAGCTCCACAACCCCTGCCATCAGTGGGCCTGGACTGAGACCGATCCCTCGAAGGGTTCCCTGAAGCAGGTGGGAAGGCCTGAGGCCTGAGGGGGTAGCCTCTGCCCGAAGGGGAGCCAGGCGTTTGTTCACCTGGAGACCTTCCAGGGGCTACCGTGACGTTTCTCTCTCTCTCTCTCACCTGCCCAGTGGGCTGGAAAGGAACCCCCTGGCTCGGGACTCCAGCTGCAGCCAGTCCAATGGCCCTGGCCAGGAGTGCCAGAAGCCCCAGGCGGCCCCGGTTCCTTGGTCCAATTAGCTTCCCTGTCAATGGCTGCACTGAGACTCAGGAGGGCACAACCTCTTTGGTCAGTGGCGCTGGATGAAGTTCTTCCTAAGCCCGGAGTGGCGAGGGCCACCCTGCCTCTGTCTGGTCGCGCTGTGTACTGCCTACAGAACCTGCCATGACTCAGCCAAGCCCACCTTTGCTAGGCCTCATGCCTCTGGCCACAGGGCTCTTCCGAGAGAGGTGTGGGTCCTCTTCTTTCTCTGCTGAGTTCCCTAAATCACTCGGCAACCGCCAAAATCTTCAGCTAGCTGCTGAGCATTTTTGTTCAAAGCCAGCAAAAGCCGTGTCCCCTCTTTTATCTTCCATCACAAGAGAGTGGCAGTGGGGGAGAATCTGCTTCTGACCGACCACGACTGCCTTCTGCAAAATCCAAGGCATGTCAGCCCTCCAGATGAGCTCTGAAGACAACAAAGCTGCTGGAGGGTTTTGGACGTCTCTAAACTAACGCACAGATCCTAGCAAATAACAAGATGAACCTGAACTCTTAACCCAGGCAGCAGGGGAGCAAATCTGTTTTAACTGGCATTATTGAAACCTGATGGGATGAGATTCATGATGGAAATATAATTATGAAGAGACAGGACTTTCTCCAAGTAAGAAAGAAAAGAAAAGAAAAACAAAATAGACTAAAGGAAGGAAGCAAGGGGGCCTCTGAGATGGAGCATGCGAGACTGGATGAGAGCATCTGGGTAAAAATTACAGGAGAGGAAAACAACAGGTGTATCACTACAAGGGTCTGCTATATAGCCCGCCAAGCCACCCTGAAGAACCAGTTGATGCCCTTCATGATCAGATCATAAAGTGTTTTAAAAGGAGAAATTGCAGCATGAAGGGAAGACTTCCAAAGGCAGAGAGTGGGGGATCCTAAACCTCCAAGGGAGGGGCAGCAGTGAACAAAAGAGGGAAGCTCAGCAAATCCTTTTTTTCCTCTTCAATATTTTCCTGTCCGGTCAAGGATTACTTGTTTATAAGGAGAGGTCATGAAGTTCAGAACAGCAACCTCTGGTTCTCAGGTGAAGGTCAGGCACTCTGACATGAATCACACCCTCCTTCTGTTTGTTCTCCTGCCAATAATAACCTGTGGTTCCTGGCTCCTGCTCCCAGCTCTGTGCCCCCCATTTCCATTTCACTGCTCTCGCTCCCCCTCACTCAGCAGACCGGCCGGACTAGTGAGAAAATTCACAACAGCAGCACTTTGTCCGCAGCAAAAGCAGTCACCTAAACACCTGGAAGAAAGAATTCGCTTAAAGGAATGGGGACTTAGCCAGTCCTGGGTTAATGATCCAACATTTAGCCAGATGTGGGAGGCTTTTCCAAAGGCCTGACTTTTAAGCGGAAGCCATTTCCTCTTGCACAGACTTCAGCAGAGGAAAGGAAAAACAAATCTTGTGTGGTATTCCAGGGTTATTACTCTAATTTAACATGTCAGAAGCCATTAGGACTTCTGTAAAGCACAAATGCAATCAGTGCATGAAAATAAACATGAGAGCTGCACACGAGCCTCACTGCTTGCTGGCATCAGCTCACCCCAAAGCACCATCCTTCCATGCCACACACCCTGAGCACATCCCCCTTTAGCTGCCTCAGTAGCTCAACTGCGAGTGGTGCCAAGGCTCCTCCTCCTCCTCCTCCTTGGGTGACTGGCCAGCCGGGCATTGGCACCTGCACTTTGCACTCAGCACCACCTGCAGAAACCCTAGTGGCCACGGAGCAGCTGAGAGCGAACCTACTGTCACTCGACTGGCATGATGACGGAAGAGTAGCAATGCAGGCTAGGGTAAGTGTGCAAACCCACCAAGTTATGCAAGATTTCATGATCAATGAAGAAGAGCTCTGTGCAACTTAAAAGCACGTCCAGTTCCATAGAGCAGAAGCTGTTCAAACGGATGCACCATTCTGTGCTTCTGGGCTGAGGCTGTCCTGCTAGGCAGGAGGGCTGAGAAGAAAGGTATCATGCAGTGCAAATCCCCCAGATCTGCCCCTGTCCTTTCTCTCTTTTCAACTTCCCCGTTGCTTGCCATGCATTGTAGTGTGGATGGTGCCTCTCTCGGAGGGTTCTGCAGGCGGCCCAGACAGTATCAGCAAACCCTTGCCTCACCTTGTTTGCATTTTTACGTACAACCCTATTGCTTTCAGTTTCCACATTCCTTTGAATTTATCTGCAGCACTGTAAAAATCTCTGTGGTTAACCACAATATTAAAAGCTAACACGGCAGAAAGTGTCTGAAAGGGAGCAATCCCGCTCTCCCTGCCAACAGTGTGGGAGACAGAGAAGCAGAGATTTATCGCTAGGCTCAAAACCTCCAGAGCTTTTCCAAGGGGGGCTTCAAGAGGGAAAGACAAAGTCACAGGTGACCTCTGTCTCCCCTCATGGGCTCCAGGGAAAAAGACTGGTGGAAAAACAGGAGGCCTGGAAGCCCTAGAAGTGTCGTCTGTTACAAGGGAGCCCTTTCCTGCTCCTGAGATGCACAAACATTTCATCCTTTTGGCCGTGCTGGGCCTCCGCAGCGCGCTGAGGTGTGTGTGGCGAGGGGGAACCACAAGAAGTCACGGCTGTCCTGTCAGGAGGACAGCCACCCTTACGGGCACTGCCGTGGGTGACACCTGGGGGGACCGGGGGTGGTCCGTGCCTTCAACATGTCAGGGAAATCTTGAGGGACTCTCACTCACTTTGTGGGGGGGAGGCTTTTCCTAAGCACAGGCTTGCTGATTGACTGATTGACTGATCGATCAATTTGATTTGATTTATATACCACTCCATTAATGCAGTGCCCTATTCTGAGCAGTTTATAACAGAGATGCAATGACCAACATCGTCCACCCGCCCGCCTCCTTTCTGCACTGCAGGCGTTCTGTCAGGACAGGGAACCACAACCAGCACACCTTTGTGTTGTACGCTGGGGAAAGAGAAGCCCATCTAGCAAACACCCGATGAGGAAACCCCGGGGCTCCTGACACACACTCCGTCTCTGAGTGAAAGACTGGCAGAGCAACCACGGTGGCGCAGAAAGCAGAGCCTCGTTTCTCTCCCCCCCCCCTTTGTACACCCAAGTTGACTGCCGTGTCCCTCAGGGTCTGAAGAGTGGTCTGAAGAGTCTCCCAGCCCCACTTTCAGCAGGGACCCTTCCCCTTCCCCGGCCCCCCAAGTCAGGCCACCAGTTCCCTCTCTCCCAGAGAGAGAGAGAGAGAGGAGCGTTGCCCCCAAGGGTCCACCCTACCCGCCCTGCTGCCCCTTCCCCTGCAGGGGGGATTGATCAGGGTCCCAGAAGGAAGGTCCTCGGTTTGCAGGAGCCCTTACCCTTCCTTCTCCCCATCCCTGAAGACCTCTCATTTGGACAGAGAGGCGGCTCCTTGCCCTGGCAAAAAGGCCCTGAGGTGCGTGTGAAGCTGAGCCACTCCAGCTTCAATAATGGAACACATTGTTCTGGGCCAACACTTGCAGCCAGGTCCGAAATAGCTGCAAGACAGGGGCCGGGAATGGAAAAACTGACAGACCAGGCTCTCGGAATGGAAGCGCCTGCTGGAAGGAAGGCCCTGGGTCACCCGCACGGCTGCCGGGCAGAGAGTCTCTGGCCAGCAGTCACGGCGCTCCCCTTCGCCACATCGCCGGTACCGCAGCCGGCTGCTCCTTCCGGCCATGGCACAACCACAGAAAAACCTACTGGGGGTGCATTGTCTCCTTTCAGCTCTGAGCCCCCACCTGGCCCGAGAAGAAGTACACAAAGTTCTTGGGCCGGGGAGCTGCCAAGCCCACGAGCGATTCCCCTGGGGCTCAGCGGATTCTCTGGCGCTGAGCCTTAGCACTCTGGACCTGGCCTTTGGCTCGCCCCAGCTCACAAGAAGCTCAGGGGTCTGACGCTGAGCAGACCAAGTGGCTGTGCTGGTTCTGTTGAGATAGCCCAAACCCCCTGTTCCTTGGGCCACGTGTGGAACCCTTCCCCTGCGCGTCTAGAACGGTTACAGAAAAGGTCCCAAAAGCAGACTCTCACCCTCAGCTGCGCCACAGAAAGAGCCACCAGGCCAAAGGAGAGGTTTTGTTCTTTAAACAAGGAAAGAAAAGGAGAAGGGAGCTTCCGATGCTAGTGAGACCTGCCTCCTGCCAGCAACAGTCTCTGTTGGGGCCGGCATCATCCTTTAGGCTTGCCTGCTCCTCCTGCCTCCAGGAATCAGTAAATGTGAACAAGGGGGGAAATGAAGGGGGAAAGCACAACACTGAATCTCCAGGGATTATTTGCTCCCATTTAAAAAAAAACACCTGCAAATAATTACAAATAAAAATATCCAATGATCCTTGGGATGTGCAAGGAATCTGGCCCCGAGGGCAAACATTCCATGTTACATTACTCAAGGGCAAGTCGACTGTGGGATGGGGGTGGAAGGGGGGAACACTGGTGGCATTACATGAGAAGGATTGGGGGGCATCAAAGGAGCCCCGCTCAGGAGGGCAGCAAAGCTTTACGGGCCCAGCAGGAGCAAAACACTGGAGAGGAGGTGCCAGACAGCGTGTCTCACCATTCTCCTGCCTCCCTTCCCTTTGCAGACATAGAAGATTTACACACCTGATTCGCAGCCGCATGGTCCGTCACCGGCGCCAGCTGGACATACTGGACCTGAATATCGCTCCCTTGGAGCGGGGATCCGTCAACACCCCCAGCTGCTGGATCGGAAGAGGCCACGGCAATCAGCTGAGCCCCCTGGAGAACCTGCAGGGGAGCAAGAGCGAGGGTGTGATCGCAAGGGCAGGCCACAACATCTGGGACAACACAAACAGACGCAAGACACACACACACCATCCTCTACTCGCCTGTCTCTTAGTGTAAACTGTTCTGCAGCCTTCCTGGAGTGCAGGACATGACTTGACAGACCACAAACATTGGGTGAACCATCAGCTTTTCCCAAAAAAGTGTGTGTTTCCCAGCTCTGTGTGTGTTTACAATTCAAAACCCTTATTTCTTTGGTATTTTATGGAATCAAAAACAAAACAAAACAGCCCCCCACCCCATCCCCACCTGCATGATTTTTATAATCTATACCAGTGGTTCTTAACCTTTGTTACTCGGATGCTTTTGAACTGCAACTCCCAGAAACCCCAGTCAGGACAGCTGGTGGTGAAGGCTTCTGGGAGTTGCAGTCCAAAACTCCTGAGTAACCCAAGGTTAAGAACCAGTGATCTATACCATTGGATCTCAACTTCTGGCCCTCTGGATGTTTCAGCCTCTGCCCTCCAGAATCCCTGCCTGGCTGCTAAGGCTCCTGGGAGTTGAAGTCCAAACACCTGGAGGAGCAAAGGCTGGAAAACACAGGTGGATGCGTGCTGGGTGTGAGATGCTTAAAGAATGGGCTTTAGATGAAGTGATTTTTACCTTCAAGTCACATAAACTTAGCAAACTCCCCAGGATTCTAGCCATTGTGAAAAAAACAGCATAGTCTTGTAACATCTTAAACACTCACACATTTATTATGTGTACATCCTCATTTTTAGAAACCCTGCTGATCTGGAGAATGTTTAGCTCTGAAAGTATTGTTTGTCATGTGAAACCATAGCCAACAATTTGTTGAAATACACTAATTTCTTTTTTCTTTTCTTTTTTTGCACTTAAAAAACAAAAATCATATAAGCTTAAAGCTGTGGAATTTGGAACACCATTTTATCCAAGACAGCATTACAACTTTCTAAAATAGAGTTCGCTTGCTCTTCTCTTCAATCATGAATATTGCACAACATCTCAATGAATTTCAGGAAAAGAAAACCTCTCATAAACATAAAACCTTTTCTTCCCAAGGTCCGTGCCCTGGCATGAAGGAGTGGTCAAAAACATCTGGGTAAACCAGCTCTATGGCTAATTGCTGGTGTTTCAGAAAATAACTCAGCATCACAATGTTTTTCATTGACCAGATCTCCATGAACAGATGTTGCTTCTATTCTCTCCCTTCACTTTTATTTCAGTCCCGTGGATTCAGACAGATTAAACATGAATATTTCCATTTCTCTTCGCGATTTTAAAAAGAATGCAAAATGAAGATGAAGGTATTGAATTCTGAGGGGAAAGTGTGGTGACACCCAAGCCTTTTGTCACGAGAGGGAAGAAACTGGAACATAAAGGGGGTGAAACTGGGGTTTATTTGTCAGCTGTGTTTTATTTTGAAAACTGCCTTTGTTGGGGCAGAAATCCTTCTATAAATAAATATTTTATAAATAAATATGTTCAATTTATTGCTGTGCCACAGTTCAGAGGATCTGGGACCATCACAAGCTCTCCTCAGTATTTTAGACTACGGTGCCCAGAATCCCCCACTGGCTGCGGGATTCTGTCAGTGGTCCCAGGGAGTCCCTCTGCCAACAGTGCTGGACTACCACTCTGACCACTAGGACCTGGGTTGGGCTATGGTGCTGACCGTTGTACTGGAGGGGCTAAACTGCTATTGGATGACTGGGATAGCAAATGAAAGCCAAAACCCAGAAACGTCCTTCGTTGTGGCAAAAAACAAACAAAAAACCCATCTCGTCAGAGGTCTACAAAAAGACGGGGGTGTGTGTGTGTTCTTTGTCCTGTTCTCAAGCCTGGTGCCTTCCTTCCTCGGGTTGGGACCAAGGGGCCGTTGCCATACACCTCACGACCTCCAACCCGTCCCAGAGTCTCCGGCGCTGGTGTAGTCCCTCTCTGGAAAGTGGTAGGAAACGTCATAAATATTTTGCTTACAGAGCAAATGCCAGACTTGTTTGTTTATTTTAAGGAAGCGGAAGATTTAACAAGGGGAATGCCGAGAATAATTTATGGGTGCTGCTCACCCGCCATTGCTGCATAAAGTATATTATTTCCTGGCCTGGGATTTCTGAAATATGGTTCCTTGTGGCTTAAGGGATTAAGGGCATCCAAACACAAACAGCCGGTGAACAACTGTGGGGTAAGAGAAAAGGCAACAGTCTCTATTAAAACATCTGCTAGTGGTGCCATTAGAGTTCACAGTGAAGGGATTATCATCTAATTTATTTGACAGCTACTATTCAAAGCTACTGTTCTGCCAGTGGAATTAATGCAGAAACCGATAAGAACATTAGTAGAAAATACACTTTTTTCCTTCAACCCATCCTTTCACCGTGGAAGAACTCTGGACAGGAAGCCAATGCAGCTTCGTGCTGTATTATTTCTAAGTTAGCGGAGCCAAAGCGTGGACCAATCCAGATGCTGTCACAGCTCAGTACAACCGATTCCCCTCCAGTTGGCTCGGCACCTCCTTTTTTGTTACCAAACGACAGAAACGACCTGCTGAACAGTCCAAAAGCATCACCGACCGATCAGCCGCACCGTCTCCAGCAGGCAAAGGCAGAGAACGCCTGGAAGCCGCCAAGCAGCTCTGCTGCATTTCTGCTTCTCACCAGGACTGCAGAGGCCATGCAGAGGGTGGCCTTTTATGAGCCATAAAATGTGGCCAGAGGTGGGCTAAGCCCTTTAATCAAATGTGTCTGTGAATGGGCATTGGATACTGACAGCAGGCATGTAAGAGCACTTTTTTTTAGCACATGGGTGCGTGCGTGTGTCACCCGGGTAGAGCTGCTACATGCTTTATTCAGGGGGGATCAGGGCTGCAGAGAGGAGGGAGCGGAAACTGTCAAATAAGTTAAGAGAAGGGGCTTCTGCTCCAAGGAGACCACGGGGCTCCTTTGCCTGCCTGTCCTCCCACATGTGCTGCCGTGGACAGAGAGCGGGGCTGCTTTGGGGCAGCCGCCTTGTCCTGAGGATGAACTTTCTGCTGCCCTTCCAGAGGGCTTCACAGAGATTCCCCACCACCAGGCTGGCACAAGCAGGGAGCAGAAAGGCCCCCTCCCAGTGCAACTCATACTTCCAGGACACATTTATGTGCCCAGGAAAAAAAAGGAGAGCGTCCCCTTCCTCCATCTGTCTGGAGCCACTGCCGGGCGTTAATGCCCTGGCCACTATCGTTCAGGCTCAGGCTGGCTGAAGCCCTTCAGGAGACAGGAGTCGGCAGACTCTGGAAGACGGAGCCTGACCCCCCCCCCAAGGGGAAGAGATGTTTCAAGGGCCGCTTCCTACTCAGGAGCCCCCAAAGCAGGACCGGCCGATGGGCCAAAGTGACCGTGGAGACAGAGTGGTCAGGCACTGAGTGGTCCACAGCTTGGCCTCAAAGCTGAAGTGCAGGAAGTCCCCAGCCCAGCCCAGCTGAGGAGCAAAGCAGGATCCCACCCTCATCTCCTCTTCTGAGAAAGTGAGCAGCTGGGAGTCTGGTCTACAAAATGCGACTTCTGACTTTTGGTTCAAACCTGCAACCAAGACTGGATGAAAAGATGGATGTTTCTGCAAAGCAACGGTGCCGGTCTCAGAAAGCGTCACCAGCCTTGGGTCTGGACTGGCCTCCCCCTCTCCAAATGAAGTGAGACCGAGCTGGCCCGGCCTCTTCCCTGCCACTCCAAGCCTGGAGGAAGGCTTACGCCGTGAATCAGAGGCCGGCCGTGACTCACCCCAGTGGCCGACTGCGGGGCCGGCTAGCTGGTTGATGGGAAACATCCGGCTGTGACATGAGGTGGCGGAAGGGAGAAGATGAGTGCCAAACCCTCCAAGGCCAAGAGGAATCCATTCCCCAAGCACTTATTTGCATGGGAGCGCCTCCTCGACACCGATAGATGCAACCGAGGAGAAGGGGGTGGGCAGGCGGTCGCCTGCCTGGAGCGTCTGATTCAGAATTTGTTCCCTCTGAGTGGAAGTCGCAGGCGAGAAAGGTGGGCGCCTGCCAACGTCTGCACAGAGTCCAGGGGCAAGCAGCATCCTCATGAACATCTGGGTGGCATCTTCATCAACAGAAAACAAGACTGCACATTTGAGGGGAGAATGAAAGGTGGAAACACAGACAGAAAGCTCCTTGGGCTTCCACCCAAGGTTGGCTGGTTTCCAGATAAGAACTCTAGGAGAACTGTTAAGAGGCTGCTGAGCTTTGGAAGTATCTGTCATTTGTGCTACGTAGGTGCAAGAGCCCATGCGTGTGAATCACAAAAGCCACAGAGAAGAGCCTCCATTAAGCCGTCACCAGGAAACAGGCAGAGTTAGCAGAGATCTAGTCTTGGTCGGGAGGTGCAAAATCTTGTCAGCCTCCAGAACCTGCTGGCTTTTGGCAAATCCAGTTCCTCCTCAGTAGGCAAGTTACAGATATTTAACTGGCTCCATAAGGACAGCTGTGTCTGCCAGCAGCATGGGGTCAGCCTGAGCCTTTGCCATCCCAGGAACCAGCCAGTTTACCATCATCACAATGTCTCCACACACTAGCCACTCAGGATGGGTGTATGTGTTGTGGGGGGGGCAAAAACTCTGCTCCTGGCTGTTGTCCTGCAGTGTTTGATCTGCAACTCAGCATTTCCAAGAGAGAAAGAAAAACAGGACCTCCACATGTTTCCCTGCACATGTTGACCCTGGTCTGCTTCCAGGCTGGGGAGGATGGGAATCTCTCCCCCTCCCTGCCCAGCCCGCCCTGCTCCCTTGGAGGAGCCATGAGTTGCGTTCTGCCTCCTCCAGCTACATGGTCCCCCCCAAAACCCTGGAACAACCTCAAGGGTCAAGGAAGAACATGCTTCAGAACGGTCTCTCTTATGGACCTTCTTCTGCATTAGATTGCAATCTGCATTAAATGGTTTCTCTCAACTGGCTAACTATTCTGGCTTCTGCAAAGAAATAGCAGGAGCGGGAGCTTATTT